ACATGCCCCAAAAAGGCAATTGAGTCTAACCAAAACTCACATTTTGAAAACTTGGCATATAACTGATTATTCTTCAAAGTGTGAAGCACACTTCGAAGATGTTGCTCATGGTCCTCTCGACTCCTAGAGTAAATTAAGATATCATCAATGAATACAACCAAAAAAGAGTCCAAATAAGGCTTGAACACCCGATTAATCAAATCCATAAATGTTGTTGGGGCATTTGTCAACCCAAATGACATCACTAGGAATTCGTTATGCCCATACCGAGTTCGAAAAGCTATTTTAGGGACATCAGCGGCCCTAATCTTCAACTGATGGTAACCAGACCTCAAATCAATCTTCAAAAATACCTTGGTCACCTTGAAGCTGATCAAATAAGTCATCAATTCTTGGCAGCGGATATTTGTTTTTGATAGTGTCCTTGTTCAACTGCCGATAGTCTATACACATCCGCATAGAGCCATTTTTTTCTTTACAAATAATACTGGTGCACCCCAGGGAGAGACACTGGGTCTAATGAATCCCTGTTCAAGCAAGTCTTGTAACTGCTCTTTCAATTCTTTCAAATCTAGCGGGGCCATACGTTATGGTGGAATAGAAATGGGCTGAGTGCCCGGAGCCAAATCAATACAGAAGTCAATATCTCTGTAGGGTGGCATCCCCGGGAGATCTGCAGGAAATACTTCTGGAAATTCATGAACAACTGGTACCGAGTCCATAGAAGGGACATCCTTTCTCTACCATACGTCGAGCTTTCATATAAGAAATAACCCTACTGGCAGAATGGCCAGGAGTTCCTTTCCACTCTAACTGAGGTAACCCCAGCATAGCTAGGGTCACTGTCTTGGAATGACAATCCAATATAGCATGATAAGGGGACAACCAATCCATACCCAAGATGACATTAAAATCTATCATATCAAGAAGTAGAAGATCCACACTAGTCTCAAGATTACCAATAGTAACCACACACGAATGATAGACATGATCTACTGCAACAGAGTCTCCCACCGGTGTAGGTACACACACAGAAGCACTCTGAGAATCACAAGACACAACCAAATATGAAGCAAAATAGGAGGACAGATAGGAATAAGTAGATCCTAGATCAAATAGAATTGAAGCATCTCTATGGCAAAATGGAATAATACATGTCATCACAACATCAGATGACTCGGCCTCAGGCCTAGCTAGAAAAGCATAAAATCGGAGTTGGGCCACACCACTCTGAACTACGTCCCTGGGACGGCCTCTAACTGACTGGACTCCACCTCTTACGGTCTGACCTCTACCTCTAATGGCCTGACCTCCACCTCTAGCTGTCTGACCCCTACCTCTAGCTGGCTAAGTAGACGGTGAAGCAACCGGTGCTGGTATGATGGCACTAGAATCTTGCCGAGATCTATTACTCGCAAATCTAGGGCAATACCTCCTGATGTGACCAATATTTCTACACTCATAACACCCATCGTGATGCCGTGGCTGCTGAAGCTGAAGCTGACCCAAATGGGCCAGATAACCGCTGTAATAACTCTGGAGTGGTGAAGCACTGATAGGAGCTGAATGAGCAGTGAATGCCGGCTGTCCAGAGTAAGGCATAATAGGATCGTGACTCCCTGAAGAACCGGGAGATGCATGAAGTGATGAATGAAACGGTCTGGGAGGATGACCCCTACCAAAATTACCTCTGCCTCCAGATGAGGCACCACTGAAACCACTGAACTGACGAGGCCTCTTATCGGACCTCTGCCCTCTCTCTTGTGCAAGAACCAGCTCGATCCTCCTTGCGACATTAACAACCGCCTGAAAAGAAATCTTTTTCCGCCTGAAAAGAAATCTCACTTCCGGTCTCCTTGGCTATCTGAAGTATTTATAGGGTGAGTGAGTCCCTCAATAAATCTCCTCACTCTCTCTCCCTACGTAGGTAGTAAAAGGAGAGCATGATGGGCCAAATCAAAACGAGACTCATACTTAGTAACAGTCATACTGGCATGCTGTAGACGCTCAAATTACTTGCGGAATTCCTCTCTCAGGATGATAGGGAGGAACGTCTCCAGAAATAGCTGAGAGAACTACTCCCAGGTAAGTGCAGGCAATCCAACTAGTCAGGTCAATGTATAATCTCTCCACTACCTCTTGGCGGAACCTGCCATCTGAAATACAACAAAATCAGCCTTATTGGTCTCAACTATACCCATGTTCCGTAGCACCTCATGTCAACGTTCAAGATAATCCTGTGGGTCCTCAGAAGGTGTATCAGTAAATTGAACTGGAAAGATCTTGGTAAACTTATCCACTCTCAATAATGCCTCAAAAGATATGGCGGGCCTATCACCGATCTGTGCCGCAACAATTGACTGAACTACCCCAATTGGCGGGGCTGCTGGAGCCTGATTCTGGGGAGCCATCTGCTCCGGAGCGGGAGTAGTGGGAGTTTTTTCTCCTCCCCCAGCCTGTGAGACGGCTGGTGCCACTGGAAATGTATCATTCTGGGCCACGCCCTCTATAAGACTTAACAGACGGGATAGAGCATCCTGAAGTACTGGAGTGGCTATGAATCCTTCCAGGACCTGAACTGGTCCAGCTGGTACATTCTGAACTTGAACCTCCTCCTGAAGGTCCACCTGAGGTTCTACAACAGGTACAGCTGCTCGAGCTCTGGACTAAGCTCTACATCGGCCTCTGCCACAGCCTCTAGCACAACCTCGACCTCTACCCCTGGCCATCGTTGCCACCGGGGATTCTGGTCCCTGTCCATCGGTAGAGGTCTTACATGTTCTCACCATCTGTGAGAGAATAAGAGTAGAATGGTTCAATCATCGATGATAGAATAAAATCACAAAATAGAATAAGAAAGAAGTAATATTGTTCCTAAACTTCATAGCCTCTGAGAGATAAGTACAGACGTCTCCGTACCGATCCTTCAGACTCTACTAAGCTTGCTCGTGAGTCGTGAGACCTATGTAACCTAGTGCTCTGATACCAACTGCCACGACCCAAAATTCCCACCTTCGAACCGTGATAACGTCTAACATTTCACTTGCTAGGCAAGCCAACGTTAGAATAATATTAACCAATTTTTAAAAAATCTTTAAATTAATAATAATCAAAGAAACAAATGCGGAAGAAAAGTTTGAAATATAGTGATATAACTCATAAAAACAACGGTGTCTAAATACCATCCCAGAATTGGTGTCACAAGTGCACGTGCTTATAGAATAAATACAAATAAAGGTCTAAATAAAATAAAGTTGTCTGTAAATAAACACACAGCTAAAGTAAAATAGACGGGGACTTTAGAACTACGGACGCCATGCAGCTATACCTCAAGTATCCTCTGGTAGCTGAAATCCGAGTAAGTCTATGGTACGCCACTGGGACCAACTCCAAAATCTGCACAAGAAGTGCAGAGTGTAGTATTAGTACAACCGACCCCATGTACTGGTAAGTGCTGAGCCTAACCTCGACGAAGTAGTGACGAGGCTAAGGCGGTTCACTTACATTAACCTGTACACAATATTAATGACAATAACAAATAATAGAAATAAAACAGGTAACTCATTTATAATAATTGAAGCCAACTCAACAGTCATAATCCATTATCATTTCAACCAATTTTGTTGCAGCGTGCAACCCGCTCTCACAATATATTCACATTTAATTATGTTGCAGCGTGCAACCCACTCTCCCAATATATATAATCATTTTCATCAAGTCAAGTCTGTCATATATTTATTTCAATCAAGTATATATATAGACTTTTAAATAAGTTTGTTGCGGCGTGCAATCCGATCCCCCAATATTTACGTTTAAAGAAGTCTATTGCGGCGTGCAATCTGATCCCCCAATATTGACTTTTAAATAAGTCTATTGCGGCGTGCAATCCGATCCCCCAATATTTACGTTTAAAGAAGTCTATTGCGGCGTGCAATCTGATCCCCCAATATTGACTTTTAAATAAGTCTATTGCGGCGTGCAATCCGATCCCCCAATATTGATATATTTACTTTCATTTTCGTTGTGGCGTGCAACCCGTTCCCCCAATATATATAACTTTAAACAGCTCATAATGTAAATAAAAATAACTCCAATAAATACCACGTCCAATGAGAACTATTAAACATCAAGACATACAATAATTATAATTTATTTATGAACAAACATTGGCAATAATAATTTATTTTGAAAATCAGGGAGAAAATAGACAGTTTAATATTTAATAAGCTAAATGTCAGGTAGCAATTAGTGCACATAATTCAAATAAGCATGTAGCAATTATTACAGGAATTTAAGAATTAATATTTGGCAAAGAATATGAGAGAAACAATTATTATAAAAATTAATTTATGGTTTAAAATAATTTATGTTTTTTCAAGTAAGCACGCAAATAATAAATTTCACGACGTATAGACACTCGTCACCTCGCCTATACGTCGTTCACATGCATTTCACATAACAAATAATTTAAGGTTTCTATTCTCTCAAGTCAAGGTTAACCACGAAACTTACCTCACTTTGCAAATTCCAATAAATTATTCAACCATAGCTTTTCCTTTTAAATTTCTCCCAGAAAACTTCAAATCTATTCACAAACAATTCGATATATTCAATACTAATCATAAGAATTAATTCCATATGAATTTACTAATTTTTCGGATAAAAATCCTAAATTCATTTAAATATTCGATAGTGGGACCCACGTCTTAAATCTTAGAAAAACTTGCGAAATACGAACACCCGTTCCGATACGAGTTCAACCATACAAAAATTGTCCCATTCCGCTATCAAATGGACCTACAAATCTTAACTTTTAGTTTTTGAAAGATTTTATAAAAATCTAATTTCTTCCTTCTAAATACGAAATAAATGATGAATATAGACATGGATTTGTGAAATATAATCACTTTTGATTAAAGAACACTTACCTAATTCAAAGTCGTGAAAATCCCCCTTGAAATCGCCCAAATCCGAGACTTGAAACTATAAAATGAGTAAAGATGGCGACTTCCGAATTTATGGGCTCCGCCCAGTCATTTTCGCATCAGCGGATAAAAGTTCCACATTTGCGGACTCGCATTTGCGAGACAAAGATAGAATTTTCCATGCCAGGTTGCCAGGTGAAGTTTTGCATCTGCGGATACTCCTGTAGCACCTGCGACATCCGCTTCTGCGCAAAATGGCTGCACCTGCGAAGACCCCAGGCCAGCCCAGTCCTGCATCTACGTGATTTGGTGCGCATCTGCGATCGAAGCCTTGACATGCCTGGGCGCATTTGCGATGGAAGGTTCGCATCTGCGAGCTCGCACCTGCGGGAAAAAATCCGCAGGTGCGATTACAACAGAAGGAAAACAATTCAGATTTTGCTTAAGTCCAATTCTTGATCCGATTTCAATCTGTATCACTCTTGGGATACTCGAGACCCCGTACGAATATTCCAACAAGTCCAATAACATAATACGGACTTACTCGGGGTCTCGTACCACGTCAAACAACGCTGAAATTACAATTCACACCCCGTTTCAAACTTTGAGTTTTAAACTTTTCAATTTGCAAACCTCGTGCCAAAACATATTAAATGAATCCGGAATGATTTCAAATTTGGCACACAAGTCATAAATGACATAACAAAGANCCGTTAAATGGCCATAACTTGAGCTAGGGACCTCCAAATTAAATTTCGGGCATACGCCCAAGTCCCAAATCACGATACGGAGCTATCAAAACTATCAAAATATTTATCCAGGTCCGTTTGCTAAAACTGTTGACCAAAGTCAACTCAGTTGAGTTTTAAAGCTTTATTTCACATTTTAATCCATTTTTCACATGGAAATTTTCCAAAAAATTTTACGGACTGCGCACGCAAGTTGAAGAATGATAAATGATGCTTTTCAAGGTCTTAGAACAAAGAATTAATTATTAAATTTAAAGATGACATTTTGGGTCATCACACCACCACCGATTTCAGTGAAAGGAGTTAGGCATTTTCTGGGATATGCAGGTTTTTATCGCCGATTTATAAAGGATTTCTCAAAAATTTCCTCTCCTTTGTGCAGGTTGTTAGAGAAGGATATGTCATTCATGTTTGACGATGCTTGTTTGAAAGCATTCGAGGAGCTGAAAAAGAAGTTAGTGAGTGCACTAATCATAGTGGCTCCTGAATGGAACGAGCCATTTGAGCTGATGTGTGACTCCAGTGATGGTACAATTGGAGCCATATTGGGCCTGAGGAGGAGCAAAATATTTCAATCCATTTACTACACAAGCAAGACTCTCACTCCCGCTCAAATAAATTATACTTTGACAGAAAAGGAGTTGCTTCTTGAAGTGTAGGCGTTCAATAAATTTTGGGCTTATTTGGTTGGCACCAAAGTAATCGTCTACATAGACCATGCAACTATCAGGTATTTGTTTGAAAAGAAAGATGCTAAACCAAGGCTAATCCGTTGGGTTTTACTCTAGCAGGAATTTGACTTAGAGATTTGAGATCGTAAAGGATCAGAGAATCAAGTGGTTGATTACTTGTCTAGGTTAGAAACTCGGAATCATGTAGTTGAGGGAGATATCATCAAGGAAACATTCCCAGATGATAAATTGTTGGCTATTACTGCTGGGGAGGTACCATGATATGCAGATTTTGTGAACTATTTGGCAAGTGGAGAGATGCCGCCTGATCTTGATACTTATGCTAAAAAGAAGTTCTTGCGAGATGTGAGGTCATATGTGTGGGATGAGCCATTCCTGTTCAAATCGTGTATTGATCAGCTAATGAGAAAATGTGTGCCCGAATCTGAAATAAATGCTATCTTACATGAATGCCATGCATCGCCTTATGGTGGTCATCATGCGGGTGACAAAACAGCAGCTAAGGTATTGCAATCAGGTTTCTGTTGGCCTAGGGTGTTTAAAGACGCCCATGAGTTCGTGAGGAGATATGATAGGTGCCAGAGAACAGGAACAATTATGAAAAGGCATGAGATGCCATTGCACGATATTATGGAGGTTGAAATTTTTTATGTTTGGAGAATTGATTTTATGGGTCCATTTCCCTCGTCCAGTGGGGGTAAATACATTTTGGTGGCCGTTGACTATGTGTAAAAGTGGGTGGAGGCCATAGCTCTTCCTACCAATGATGCCCAGGTTGTGGTTAAGTTTGTGGAAAAGCATATGTTTACAAGATTCGGCACTCTGAGAGTGATGATAAGTGATGGGGGCACCCATTTCTATAACAAGTTCTTGGACAATGTCTTAGCGCAATATGGGGTCAAATATAAAGTTGCAACCGCTTACCACCCTCACACTAGTGGGCAAGTGGAAGTTTCAAATAGAGAGATAAAGCAGATCCTGGAGAAGACGGTTGGTGCAAGTAGGAAACATTGGGCTACAAAGCTTGATGATGCTCTATGGGTATACCGGACCGCCTACAAAACTCCCATCGGAACCTCCCCTTACAAGTTGGTTTATGGGAAAGCTTGCCATTTATTGGTGGAACTTGAGTACAAGGCTTATTGGAAAATAAAGAAGCTGAACGCTGATGCAGCCTTAGCGGGTAGAAAGTAGTTGATGCACCTGAACGAGTTTGATGAGTTTCGCTTGTATGCGTATGAGAATGCCAAGTTATATGAAGAAAAGACCAAGCGCTGGCATGATAAGCATATTCAGCATCGCGAGTTCGAACCGGACCAATTGGTTCTCTTGTTCAATTCGCGGTTGAGACTCTTTCTGGGGAAGCTCAAATCGAGATGGTCGGGCCCATTTGAGGTAGTAAGAGTCACTCCACATGGTGCAATTGAGTTGTGCATCTTAGGTGGCAAGAGAATGCTTTTAGTGAACGGACAAAGAGTAAAGAATTATTATGGAGGTGACTTTGATTGTCAGAAGTCGAAGGTGTTACTTGCCAATGATTAGACCAGATTCTGTGTCATGCCGTGACGTTAAATTAGGCGTTTGTTGTGAGGCAACCCATCTTTACTGCTTTCTTTTATTTTTATTTTTATTATATTATTTTTGTAGTGTCTGTTTTTATTTTGTAAGATTATAAAAATAGGAATCAAAGCCACTGGAAGAGTGCAAAAGCGAGCTAGATGGTGAGAACTAAGTATGGAGTGCTCATACAAAGGACCATGCCTGGGGGAAGTCTGAGTACCCGTGAGCCGCTATTGCTTCGGCTTTTGGCCTTTCTGGGAGTTTCTTGTCCACCCTAGTTATTATTTTACTTTATTTGTGGATTGGGGACACTGCACTCCTTTAAGTGTGAGGTGGGAGAATTTCTCTAGATAATTAGTAGTAGTATGTTATAAAATATTAACTTCTTATTTTGATTTTAGCTTTTTTGTTTTTTGTAGTTGTGTAGTATTTTAGTAGCTATGAAACAAAATGGAAAAAGTAGAAATATTGGACTTTTCCCGATGATGGATCTCATAGACAGTTTTCTTGAGGTATTTTAGTCTAAGGAAAAAGGACAAAAAGATTTTTTTTGTATGTAGTGTAGTAATCCCCCCCCCCCTTAGTTTTTCTTTGTGTCGCGGTTATTTTCCAAGGATTTTATTTGAACCGGGTGTAGTTAGTTTTATTTTTTTTAGGAGTAGGAGCCATTGTGAGATGAATTAAATTGAAGCAATATCTCTTGACTTTGTTATGCCTTGAGAATAGTGAGTACTTTGGTTGTGACGCTTATGCTAAGTTTTTGACTCTTGTATAAGTACCTTAAATCGTATAATTTTAAATTTGCTTCACTACTTTAACTAGAGTGTCTTGATGAGTCCAATCCCGAGTGAGTTATGTGCCATGTGTGTGTGAGATTTGTGTGTTATTCTGTGCATTGCATTTGATGTCTAGGACTTGCCCCGTGTGTTTGCAAAGCGNTCTTTGGCAACCACATTACAAACCTTACCCATTTGTTTGAATTAACCATCTATTTGAACCTTTTAACTTCTCATGAATACTTGAATTGTTATGAACTTTGTAAAAGTTAAAGTTTAGGATGGTTGGTTTGGCTTTTGAGTGGAACTAATGAACTAAGGAGAAAGGTGCACTGTTTTGAAAAAGTAAAAGCCACTTGAATTGAAAAAGAAAAGAAAAATATAGTTGTATTGCTGTGAAAAATATTCCTTAATAGTGGTGACTCTTGATGTAATTGTGCTTAAAGAAGTATGGAATTAATATACATTGATGTGAAGGTAGAGTTATGGTTTGATATAAGTATGGGGTTAAATGATAAAGTGTATGTATTAAGTGCTTAGGGAGGTGTAGTCACTCTTATATCCAAATGTATCCTACCCGACCCGCAACCTACATTACAACCATTTATAGTCCTACTTGATCCTACACTGAATGAGCTCGATTAGTAGAGTAGTTTAATACGGGCAAGCCTATGGTGCATCTTTTGTGGCATATGAATGTTATTTCTGAGAGTGAGTGAATTCTTTCTATCTTGAGTTCCTAATTGTTCTTAAATTTTATTGTATGTGTGGAACCACTCTTTTTTGTTATGTGAGGGCACTTGATTCATGAAGGAAAGGTAATGTCATTGACCTCTATGTTAGAGTAAGTGAGTGAGTTATGAATAATTCATGGTACTTATGAGCCAAATTGTGAGGTGAAGATGTTACACCCATGTGCTTAGTCTATTTTAAAGATTCTTGGTGTGATACGTTAGGAGAATTGTTTAAAAGGGTCGTGTCTATAAAATGTAGTTTGATTGCTCGAGGACGAGCAACGTTTAAGTGTGGGATAGTGATGTTTGGCTATAATTCCATATTTTTAGTGCATTATGTACCTTACATTTAGGTACTTTCAGGATAAACTATGCTATATTTGTGCTTAATTGAGCTTATTTTATGTGTAGGTATATTGAAGATAAAATTTGGAGCAAAGCGAAGATTTTATGTATATTTTATACACTACAAGAATGGAGTTATGATTATTTAATTAGTGGATATTAAGGTTTAACTTTGTGTGGGAAGACAAAAGAGACAAATCAAAAAAGAAGACAAAAAGAACAATTGGAAAATAAAATAAAACAAAAACGTGAATTGAAGAATTGGAACAACTCAAAAGCAAAGGGAAGGAATTAGAAATGTTAGGCAACAGAATGAGGAAACGAAGAAGAAGTCGGGCGAAGCGAGCTATTTATCTCGTGTTAGATCAAGTGACGCGAGGGAATGTTTGCGCGACATAGCTCGCGTCGCTAGGGCTGCAGCGAGATGGAGCTCGCATTTGAACTCTAGGCGCGGTATGTAGCGAGCGTGTCCCGGGTTTAAAAGGCTATTTTATCTCCTATTTGGTTTTAGACTTGGTTATTTCGTTTGGGTCTCTTCCCTACGTATATAAATTGTCATTAAACATTATTTTTAGAGGAGTTTTGCGGCCGGAGGCAAGCACATCACGTGGAAAAAGTTTGGAGGAGAAAATCATAGAGTTCTTCATTCCTTTATCTTTTCTTTGTAATTTGTTTAAGCAAAATACTTGGAAAATTATTACTACGAACATGAGTGGCTAAGAACTCAAGTTCTAGGGTTGTGGTTGACATGATTATTAACGATTATTAATTACATCTTCGTTAATTTGGATTATCATCTTGTGGTTGTTTTTTTAATTATAGTTTTAACTTGTGAATTGTTGTAGCTCCCAATTCACCCTACTATCTATGCTATGCTTGGGAAAGCCGTGTTTAGATTAGAGTAGAATTAGAGAAAGCTTGTTTCTGCACCCGTGGCTCGGGGGAAGATTTCGCGGTTAGGATAGGAATATACCTAACAGTCTTGCTTAGTTGAATACCACATTATATTCGTTAATGATAGAGTCAATACCATAGGAATATAGGATTGATATACTGTGGGCAAGCGAGTAGTATTGTGGGAATATGCTATTCATATAAATGACCCGGTTAATTAGCCACCATAGATAATCTGGATTAACGAGTGTAATTATTGAACTTAATAGGACTGATAAACCAACCACAACCCTGGAATTTTCATCTCCTCTGAAGTAAAATCTCATCATACACTTTTTTATTCTTGATAATTTAGTTGTTACTTGTTTAATTTTCGCAATAGTAGATTAATAGAAAAACGTCAGTCTTAAATAGCTTGGGCAATTAATTAATTTTAGTTTTCTTAGTTAACGATCGATCTAAGTCTCTGTGGGTTCGACATCCAACTTTTGAGTCACTTTATTACTTGACGGCCACGTATACTTGCATGTACTTGGGGAACCAACAACTTTAATTTGAGAAAATTAAGAAACCTTGAGCTTCATGTTATGTGAATTAATTGGGAAACGACGTATATGCGAGGTGACGAGTGTATATACGCCATTATGATATTTGCTTCCATGTTTTCATTATTTCATATTATATCTTGTTTCATGCCTTAATTTCTACATGCTTCATTGAGTTCTGTGCCATAATTGTTACTTGTCATTTAGTTATTCTCATATTAAAATGTCCATCCCTTCTATGAATCCATGCTTATTTGCTACTTTCTTTACTTACATATCTGAATTGTCATATGTATTACTTGCCTTATAATTTTGTAATACTTTTTGTTGTCTATAATGTGGTTTCACTTGTACGAGTTGTCTATTTGATAGATACCGATGAGTTGGTAAGTTGAGACATTTGGGTTGTTAGAGATTCGTTGATTATAATGTGATTCTTCATTGCTTCATACATTTACCATCTTGATGTAGAAATTCTTATAAATTTTGGTTGTTGAGTTGCTATTGTTGATTGATATTGTTTGGGGATCGGGTTGCACGCCGCAACGGAAATTGAAATGTAATGAATTGAAATGGCGAAATAAGGACGGATTATGATATTGACAGGTGATGATATAGTGGAATCGGGTTGCGCGCCGCAACAGATTGTAAATGTTGTATTTGTTTGTGGCTGTTGGATTTGCCCTGGTATTTTGAGATGAATTTATAAGACTTGTTATATCGAGTTCATTTTCATGAGTTAAGTGCTTTATTTCCATTTTTGGTCTTTCCTGTTATTATTATTGTTGCGTTTAGGTTATTGTAATCGACTCGCCTTACCCTCATCACTACTTCATCGAGGTTAGGCTCGGCACTTGGAGAGTACATGGGTTCGGTTGTACTCATACTACACTCTGTACTTCTTGTGCAGATACCGGGGTTGGTCCTAGCAGCGCTGAGTGAGATTTGCTCGGATCTAGCTATCAATGGAGACTTGAGGTATAGTTACACGACGTTTGCAGCCCTGAAGTCCCCTTTTATATCATCCTAGTTGTTTATCTTGATACGGACAATGTTGTTTTCATTCAAACAATTATTTTTAGTACTGTTGACACTCGTATATTCGTGACACCAATTCTGGGATTGTATTTGGATTTCAACGTTTATTAGTTTATCACCTTATTTTAGGCTATTCAGTTTTATTGTTGTCATTTGATTTAAATTGTTAAAACTGGTTAATAAATATAGTTAATATTGGCTTGCCTAGCAAGTGAAATTTTAGGCGCCATCACGGTCCCGAGGGTGGGAATTCTGAGTCATGACAAGTTGGTATCAGAGCACCAGGTTGCTTAGGTCTCACG